CGCTGTTTACATGTTGGGATTAAGCATAATCATATCCATAGTCATGATTGGAATTTCCTATTTTTTAAGGAAAAGACGAAAAATGATGAAAGACATGATAAAAAAGATGCAGCCAAGCACATTAAATCAAAAATCTTTCTTTAATCTGAAAGAAAAGGACTGATAGCATGGATATTTTAAAACTATTCAATGAAACGTACTATACTTTAGAGGACGAACTGAAAAAGAATATTGCCAAAAAGATAAGAGAAAAAAACAAAAAGATGGAATTAAAATTAGAGGAGAGCAGACTTTTAACTGAAACAGATTTCAAAGAATTAGGCATAACTAACAAAGAAGGCAGAGAAGGTTATGTTTTAGAACAAACGCAAGATCTTCAAAATGAACTAATTGATGTTAAAAGATATTATCAGACATGGTTAGAAGAGCAAGGTTAAAAATAATATAAAAAACGGTTGATATTAAAATGGGTTCAATAATAGACGCAGCAGAAGAGGTATTGGGTGGAGTAGTATTTGCCATTGAATTAGTAACCTTTTCTTTGTTCTTCTTTGAAGAGGGATTTATAAGTCTTTTAAGATCATATAAAACACCGATATACCAACGAAATAAATCAAAGTTAATGGTTTTTGATTATAACGACTTTGACTTTATGATGTCTTGGGCTTTGTCATTTCTAAATAAATTCGGCCCTCTGGCAGTATATAGTTATAAAAGTTTTGTAACCTTCTTTTTCATGTGTATGATGTGGAGAAGTTACTCTGCATTTGTTAGAACAGGGGAACGTGGGGAACAAAGCATAGTACCTTATGCTCATGGCGATGTTATGATATGGGATAATGAAGATTGGGATCTGTACATGCAGAAAATATGGGATGGCAGGATAAGACCAGAACCATAGGAGAGATAAGAATGGCTTTAACCGAGAAAGAAAGGAAAACAAATAAAGTATGCCAAAATTGTGGAGGAAAAATCAGACAGTTTGGCAGTAAAGATGAGAATGTTGGTAAATGTGTAGAGCAATGTTGTAACAGATTGACTAATTTAGATCTGTTACCAACAAAAAAGGAGTTCATGAAAGAAGTTAGTGTTTTTAAAAATTTAGATTATGGCGGATTCATAAAACTTGTATCAGTAAGAAAAAAAGGAATGACAATTTTATTAAAGAATGGTGATTGGATAGACATCTTCTCAACAATGAAATCTAATGAAAATAGAATATCTGGTTATTATCACTACAAAAAAGGAGGCCATGTATATTTAGAACATGTTGGAAGGTGGTAATATGAATAAAAATAAACTACTTGAAAATCTGGAAGAAAAGCAGTTTAGAGAAATAGAAACAGAATTAGAAAAACAGATAACGTTCAGTAAAGAAGACAGACGAAATCAATTTAGCAAAAAGGACATCGTGATGGCTGGAGGTATCGCTTTCAGTATTCTTGGGGAAACTAACGATCCGGCAGAATTTTTTAATTTTGTTTTAAACATCCTTTATGGAACATTAGAATTTGAATAGGAGGATAAAACATGTTAGAAGGAAGAGAAGATTTAGTTGCCTTTGTGTTGTCAATACCGGAAGAATTGGCATCTTTTAAAGGAAACAAAGAGAAACTTTTAATGAAACCCAACACTACCATAGGTGTAGAAATCAATAGTATGTACTACCCGGATCTTCGGGCTTTGCAGATCCTTGAAGATGAAGTAATAGTATTTTACAGCCCGGACATGGTACAGGTTAAGTTTGATCATGTTGATCAAATAGATTTCAGATAATTTAAAAATAATTTTTTCTTTTTCTTTTTATTCTCCACAGCCAAATTCAATTAAACTATCAATACTGTTTATTATTGTTATAATTAAGACAGGGAACGCTCTTAAAAATGGATAACCATCAAAATGAGTTCCAATATTCCAGATAGTTTCAAAATCCCAATCAGTAAAGGTTGATTGTGTTTTCATCTCAGTGGTTGTTTTACCCGTTCCGACAGCGCTGGTAGTTTTTCCAGATGTTTCAATATCCCAATAACAACCACTTGATGAGCCACCACTATTTACACCTAAGAATCCTTTGGCATTCGTAGTTCCAGTAATTAGTCCAGTAGAATAACATTTTGTAATACTACCTTGTGTTAATGTTCCCCCTACTCCACCACACGAGGTTGGGCAACTGACACTACTTGTGGAATAGGAATGAGATAGATACGTTCTTCCGGCTCCAAATATTCCTCCAGCATTGCTTGTGGTGGCTGTTATATTCCCCGTAGATTTGCATTGGGTTATTCTTGTATAATATTTTAATGCTCCATATGAATGACCAACATTCCCACAAATGCCTCCAACAGAACTATTTCCACTAATATTTCCGGTTGTAACACAATAACTTGTGGTACCGTTTCCTCGTTCGTTTCCTACTATTCCACCAACACAATTATAACCAGATATGTTAATAGAGCACGTACATCTTGTAAAATTTGAAATATATGCGTATCCACAAATACCACCTAC